CAGTAAATGGTTTCATTAATGGAAATGGTCTCAGCTGCCTTTTCTGCCCTTACACATTCTCTTTCTCTTGTGCAGCAAGTGTGTGTGTGTTAGGCTGTGTGGTGAATCAGATGAAGGAGCTCATGTGGAATGAGACAAATCTTTGCTTTTTCCTTGGTTATTTTCACTTAGCTCACACCATGTTGTGCATTAATATATGGCTGCACAAACACTTTTGTAGACATGACAAAAAGGGAGCATGACCAGTTTTTGGAGCAATGCTGACATATTGTCAGTCTGCAGTGTTCCTGAACTCCCACTTGAGATGGAGGAAGAGCAAGACTACTTGATTATATAATTTATTAGCAGTAGTATATACTGTTAAAAGGTAATGCAAGCTGCCAGAGATCATATGCAAGAAGTAAAAGTAATTCTAAAGCTTTGTTTGAATACTGTATTGAAACAAGTGTTTTCAACCCTGGGTGAAGAACTGATGTTGTTAGGTATCTTTGGCAGCAGTGTTTTTTCACCAGTATGAAGGAAATCATTAGCATAATTTTTATGGGTTACTTCTTTACTGATTGCTTTTCCGTTCAGGATTTCCACAGGCAGTAAAGAGAATTTCTTAAAGGGAGACGTTCAAATGAACTGATCTCTTCATTGCTCATAAACAATTATTTTGACAAATCAATCATTTTCATAGTAATGACTAGATATTTTAAACATGGGTTGAAACTCAAAGTTTAAAAATACTAAAGAATATAAGCAAGATTTGTAAATTAGTATTTATACACATGGCTAATCATCTGGTTTTAGGTTAATTCTTTGCAGAACAGGGGGGTCCCTCTTTTCTCCTTCCCCTTCTTCATTTTCTGCCAACCTTATTTTCTCCAAAACTGGTGGAGGAGACAAGATATTAAATTATAAGACATGTTTGCCTCATTTTAAGAGCTTTTGAATAGTCTGAAAGCTTAGATTCATTTTTGATAAATAGACGCATAATGCTGTTTATAGTGTAACTACATATATTCCTGTTCCCAGCAACTTTTGAATAAATAACACACACAAAATAAATTTCATAACATGAGAACAGAGATAAATAATACATTTCCCTGGTGCTTGCATCATCAGCTTAGAGAATGATTGGTTTGCATTTACATTAGAGATTCCAAAATAATAAAAGTCACAATTTACCAAATCTGCAGTATTAATTTGGTTATCAAAGGAAATTTGTTTTTATGCATCAGATGTGTATTTTCCAACTTTTTTGTTCATAGTTAAACTACAAAAATAAAAACCACTAATACTTGCTGTAGAAACACCTGTTACAAAGGGCTAGGTTTTTTTTTTATTTTATTTTAGTTTTAGCAGCTGTCATTTGAAGCAAATGAGAGTATTTGCAGTGTACTTTGTCCTTGAGCATTTGTTTGCTTTCCCAGCTCTCTTCTTCTGAAGAACTGGCTTTTCTGAATAGTACTGCCAAACTTTTGAAGTCTCCTGTTGAGGTAAATGTACAAGTCTATGTATATAAATTGCTTTACACCTTATATTTGCATTTACTATATCAGAAAGACTTGGCAAATTTCAGGGTGTATGATGCATACGCTGCATCCCTTTGGTGTCTAGAGTAGAAAACAAGCATCCGAGATCCAGAGATTTCTTTGTACAAGGGTACGTGTGCTTCACTAGATTGCTCAGGAGTGTGGCCAGTGGGTTTTTATTATCTCTCTGGAGAGAAACTCCATAACCTCTCCGGGCAACCTGCTCCAGTGTTTAATCTCACAGTAAGAAAGTATTTTTCTTATGTTTGAGTTGAATTTCCTGTATTTTGGTTTCTGTCCTTTGCTTCTCATCCTTTCTCTGGCACAATGGAGTATGGCTCCATCAGCTGTTTATACATATGGCAAGGTACCTCCCGCGCATTCTCTTCTCCAGGCTGGACGTTCTTAGCACTCTCAGCTTCTCCTCACGTGTCAGATGTTCCAAACCTTTCACCATCTGTGTGGCCCTTTGCTGGAATCTCTCCGGTATGTCTTTCTTGTACTGAGAAGCCCAGAACTGGACCCAGCACTCTAGCTGTGGTCTCACCAGAGCTGAGCAGAGGGGAAGGATCACCTCCCTTGACCTGCTGGCAATGCATCCTGAGGATGCCATTGACCTTCTTTGCTGCAAGGGCACATTACTGGCTCATGTTCAACTTGCTGTCCACCAGGACCCCCAGGGCCTTTTCTGCACAGCAGCTTTCCAACCGGTCCACAGCGTGTACTGGTGCTTGGGATTATTCCTCCCCAGGTGCAAGACTTTGCATTTCTCCTTTTTTGAAGTTCATGAGGTCTCTATTAGCTCGTTTTCCAGCCCGTCAGTGTCCCTCTGCATGGCAGCACAGCTGTCTGATATATTATTAACTGCCTATCCAAGTTTTGTGTAGTCTGTGAACTTGCTGAGGGTGCACTTTGTCCCATCATTCGGATTGTTAATGAAGATGTTAAACAGTATTGGCCCCTCTGTCAACCTGCGAAGTGACTGGCCTCCAACTGGACTTTGTGCTGCTGTTCATAACCCATTGGGCACTTCTCATTGTACCTCACAGTCTGCTTACCTGGTCCATATTTCAGCAGTTTGCCTATACATATGTTATGTGGAAAGGTGTTGAAAGCCTTGCTAAAATAGAGATAAACATCATCTGCTCTCCCTTCATCCACTGAGCCAGTCAGCTTGTTTTAGGAGGCTGTCAGGTCAGTCACGCATGATTTCTCCTTTATATGTCCGTGCTGATTTCACCACCTTGTCCTTCGGGATTTGTTCCGTCACCTACTTGGGGACTGAGGTAAGGACTGGCCTCTGGTTCCGTGGATCTTCCTTCTTGAAGATAGCAGTGACACTTACTTCCTTCCAGTCCTCAGAAACCTCCCCCTACTGCCATGACCTTTCAAGATAACGAACTTCTAGTAAACTTCAAAAATAGCATTGGTACTGTTTTAATTTTAAAAATTCTGTTTCCTTGCCCTTTTAGATGTGAATTTAGGTTGCTGTTTCATAGCTGTGAATTGCTACTTTTCAGATGCTGTCATCAATGATAAAATAGTTATCAGTGTTAAACCAGCAATTTTACACCGCTTTGTGGGTTTCCTTAAGTAATTCCCGTGACATAACTTTGTTGAATATTGTTCTTCTGCTTGTATTAGGGAAAGCGTAGCACATATTGCAGAAGATGAAAATGCTTCATAAAATAAAATGCACTTTAAGATCAAGTTTTGTTTCTGTAATACAAATATTTTTGTCAACTTCATTTTATATAATAAAAGAATATTCTTTTTATCCTATTTTTTAGCTTGTTTATTTACTTACAAAGATATTAATGCACTGATCAGTGAAGGTAGTGTAATGTTTTGCAGGATTTTTGGAGGGGATGGAATTTCTCTTGCATCTTGTTTTGAGAACTCATTTATTCTGTTGTCTGCAGTTCGTGTCACAAATAGACAGAATTTCATGCTTTGCCATTATTTTTTCCAGTAAAGGCAATTGTTCAGTTCATTAATTCCTTAAATATGCTCTCCTGACTTTTTACCTAGTATTTGCTGATGCTGTGGGGAGTTTTGTCTATGACTAATAAAATAATTGGTTCATATTCTTCTTACAACATCCTAAAAAATATTTGTGGACTTGCTCTGTCTAATCTGAGCCATCATTAACCAGTTGAAACATGTCTTAATTTTTCTATGTGATCACACTGGTATTGGGAAGCTACAAGTATAGCATTATTGATGCACATATATTCTTTCAGGTTTTCTCATTTGTATATAATGCATCAATGTTTTTTCAGGGATTGTGTAGCAATAAATGAGCTCTTTTCCCCACTGTTCTTTTTGTTTCCATCTTCACAGAGCCAGAATAACAGTGTAATAGATTTTTTTTTTCAAATGCAAACCCAAAACAAACCAAACACCCCCCCCCCCCCACCCCCAAACAAAATGTAATCTTACTGAAAACATCTTACAGCATTGTGGGAATCTGAAAAGTAATGAAATTCTTTACCTTAAGCTAGAAAAAAGTACGGTAGGGCTTGTAATCTGCAAGTAATCCATGTATGTGTCTTTAAAGGGCCAGATGCACAGCTCTTGCACCATCGAACTCATACGTAAAATCTGTACTCATGTTTAAAATGTGTTCTCTCTCTTGCTATTTCAGTTGTTAAGATAATTTCCAAATAGCAGTCAAAGGAGAAGCAGAGTATTCTTTAAGTTTTACGTCAGCATACATTAAGCATCTGCAGGTGCTTAGAAAGCAATGATCTGAAAATTCACTTGATGTAGTTTGACAAGTCACTGTCTGACATTTGAGTGCGTGAAACATCCGCGTACAGACTTCTAGCCTACCTGCTTAACAGCAAAGGCCAGGAGAAGACCACTTCAGTTAGCCTGAAAGAAACTGAGGTAAGCCAGGTTGCAACACCTGGGTTAGCATGGCGAAGAGCATACCTGTAGTTACCATGACCCATCTTACATGTAATAAATTGATGTGGGTCTCAACCCTGACTACTGACTGGCTTCAGTTCTTTTTTTTTTCTGTCCAGAAGGACAGCCATGGTGCCGAAGAATTGCAACGCTTTTGCTCTGCTGCTCTCAGACAATTAGATGAACAGCTGTCGAACTGCACAAGCGTTTCTGTATTAGTAGTGGTAGTGAAGGTATACTGGTGGTAGGGTGTATACAGTTTTGGTAAGCTGCATGTTCTGGATGCTGGGGGATGGAGTATGTGCATCCAGTTTTAAGATGTAACCAGAAGCTGTCATTTAAGGGTTGTGAGCTGGTGTTCAGAAGCAGTAACATGGTGACAGTAATACTGGTGTTCTGTTTATTCCTGACAGCAAAATAGTGCAAAACTGAGTTGTACAGCAGCTGTTTGAGGCATGGGCCTCCTGCTCTTAACTGCAGGCTTCATTTTCTATGGAGTGATAAAGTATTTTGGAAGTACAAATACAAGGAAAATGTTAATTAGTTTTTCCTTTCTGTTTCTTTTAGGACTCCTCCAGGATGGTTTCAAGCAGGTATAAAAGGTATGAGATCTTTGTACACAACACGTTTCTTTACATACATAGTTCTGCTAGAAATAAAGCTGATTAAAATGGGTGTTCGTAGTAGAGGCCATCATACTGCTACTGTAGATACATAGCCTGATTTTGGGGTAAGGACCTGAGAGATGCAGTAAACTTATCCAAACCTCTCTATTATGTTACTATTTTAAAATAAATTCAGCTAGTATTCTGCTGGGTTTACTATTGCAGACATTTCCCAAGCAAATATCTAACTTGACTACATGTTACCTAGGAGCTAGCAGTTTCACAGTTAATTTATGAACCACCGTCTTCTGAAGTTTAGTACAGGAAGATAATTTTGTTGCTCTCCACAGTAATATCAGAAGAAATTTCTATGCTTTTGTCATACTACTGTCTCAGTTGTAGGGGATGCTGCCCACATGTAGCATGTCCTGTTTGTTTGTCTTTGAGCCAAGTGTTACCCTGGGCATTACTCAAGTTCTTAAATCAGAAAAATATTTCAGAAGCTCTTGACACACCTGACCAACATGTGCAATTTTTGCCCATGTGGAATTAATATTGACACAGCTATCACAATTATTAGGAAAATGTCATGGTAGCATGGGGTCTAAAATAACATCAACTGAAGCAGGACATTTGTGTAAACATAGTTTTATTTGACACATGAATGTAGTCTCTTTTAGATACCCTTTACTCAGGTAAAATGTGTAGGTGGTTAATTCATCTGTGTATGTACATCCTGGCTGTAGAAGTAAGCGCAAAGAGCACCTACAATTATTTAGCCTTCGCTGGTGTATTTTCCACCCCTCAGACTTGTTCACCTATAGAATCATAGAATGGTTTGGGTTGGAAGAGGCCTTCAAAGATCAAAGTTCAACCCCATCTTTCACTAAATTAGGTTGCTCAAAGCCCCATCCAACCTGACCTTGAATACCTCCAGGGATGGGGCATCCACAACCTCTTTGGGCAACCTGTTCCAGTGCCTCACCACTCTCGTTATAAAAAATAATAACCTATCCTGTTGCGCTTTAGGTTTCTTAGTGTGTTGCTGTCTTTTATATTTATGTTCCTGGGTTTTCATAAACGTAGTTGAGTGATGCTTTTTATTGCTGTAGGGTTGGTTTTTTTTAAATCACTTTGTCACTGCAGAATGGGTGGACTTACTGTCACAACCTTAATGACTATATAATTTCATTATTCCTTTCTTATTAATCAAACACATTTTAATTCGGTCTCCACTTCCTCTTCAGTCCCTGTGCAGATTTTCTGTGCTATTTGTAACTCCTGAATACTTAGCCGTGTGTGTCATAGGGATTTGTGGTTTTCATAACCCTTATCTTTACTCTGTTCACATGCTGTATATACTCACTTGCAAAAACTGAGTTGTGTGTGTGGTGGTAATAAATAGAAGTTTGCACAGTCACATTCATAGCTTATTTGAAAATAAACTAATTATTTGCATTAGCATTGCAAAAATAGGAGACTCCAAAGCTAGAAAATGCTAAAATAAGACTTGTTTGTGCAGTGTTTGTTCAGTCAGCTTTAGTTATGTGTGGGATGTAGGTTCTTTGTTTGTCAACTTCCCCCTCAGGACTGGCATCGCATTCAGGAGGAATCTGACTTGCTGTGAGCTGCTGTTCAATATTTTGTTATGTATGTTGCCATCTATCTTAGTCATTGCGTAGTCTTCAAACCTCATGTTGAAAAGAAGGGATTATTTTTCCTGTGAAGTCAGCACAGCGCCCAGTGCTCACAAATACTAAGTGGGTTTTATTCTAACTGTATTTCCATGAGGTGTACAATGCCCACTGTGATTAGAGTTAACAGTATCTATTGCTTTTCCTCTATATTTGAAAATTTCTATTTCCCCTGAAGTAATTTTTCAGGTAAGAGTACTTGAACAAAGTATGTCTCCCAGTGGCTTCGCTTTCTGGTGTGAGTGCTAGAGGAGTCAGGACCAGAGTTCTCTTCTGTTCTGGCAATGTCTGGCTTGTTTGCCCCTTCCCTCTGTCCTCTTCTGACTTCTAGTCCTGGGTTACCGATACCATCCCGGGCTTCCAGTACCTTCTCTTCCCCTTCCCATATAGCTGTTCTCGTGTCTATGTTGAGATACCCAGACTCCTGAACCTAACAAGACAAGAGAGGCTTAAGAGCAGAGGAGGATCTGTGCTGTGTGTTTTCATGGAATCGCTGTTCTCTCAATATGTGCCGGGGCTCAAGGAATTGCACAGATTTTACTACCTATTTAATCAGACACACTGTCTACTTTGCCTTATATGGATGCAGCAATCCATGGTTAAACATTTCTATGACATTGCTAAGAAACCCGTTTCACTGAGTGTCCATTGACTGGTAGACAGGTTTACAAATGAACTCTGCTGGCTTCTGATGTGTTATTCTACTTCTGTTCTGGCTGACTTGGACAAACTGAGCCTGTCTCCTTATGCAGTAAAGTAAATAAAAGTTTGGGATGAGGATCTTGGTCTATAATCGTAGTCCGCCTTCTGAATTTACTTCCAAAATTCCCTCACTTGCACCCCAAAAGTTTGTGGAGGGGTTCCTTTGTAGTTGCATGATCAACGGCATAAAATATTTTCAAAAGAAAGTGATGGTTCTGTTGTGATCTGGAGCGGTACTGTAAGATCTGTTAAAAGCGTGACCAGGATCTTCAAGGTCATGCTGACATGAAGGCCACAGGACATGTTCGTGAGAGTGTTTGGGAGCTGTGATCAGCCATCTGATCTGACTGTGAGCTTCATGTGATTAAAATGTGTAGGTATCCTTCAGTTGTAATAGCCTATATCAACTTCCTCATCTTTCATTTTTCTCTAGGCTTTTCTTAATGTGATACGCCTCATCTTGGCCATTCCAAGCTACTATTACTGTAACTGGGTCTACCAGTTTTTGCACTGCTTTGTGAGTAGTTATTTTAAAGCAACATTGCCATTAGCAAGAATGGTTTTCTGATTCTGGTCTGATGCTGTCAGCATAGTTGGTGTCATCACTGATTTCTCAAACAAGAGAATGACAAAGTGTATTCTGTTTATTGAAATATTTGAGCGTAATCTACATGTAAATGTGAATTAGGTTTCTCTTGGTGTTCTGTGAACTAAAAAGTTTGCTTGCAAGTAACAGTAAAGCAAGATATGTATGTGGACATAGGAATATTTTTATAAGCACAGAGAATTTGTTTTAGCAGCTTATTTTTAAGACTGTCTACAAGCTTTTGAACCAATTTAGTGTCTTTTTTTAGAATGGTCTTAAATTGAAAAGAAAACCTTGCAAATCAGGATTTAAAATAACTCAGAAGATTTTTGCATGGTTCATGGATCAGACAGATCAGGCTGGATCAGTTTACAGAAAGAGTTAGATTAAAATCTCTTAGTGGTTCAGGGGTGTGTTCCCCTTATATGTTTGTTTATTAGTTGAAATGAATACAATATGGTATGGCTTCATGGCTTCCAGGCAAAATGTCAGAGAGTTGGTTTGGGTTTTTTGGGTTTTTTTTTCCCCTTAGGATAGTATGGCACGCTAACATGGAACCCAACAGGTAGAAACCCTTGCCCACTACTTCTAAAAGACTACATTGTACTCAAGTTTAACATTCATGCAAGAGTTGAAAAGTAAATGAGGATGAAGAGATCACAAGAAGAGAAGAAGCTAGTGCTTCAGAGCACTGATGGGAGGTGCTCTGAAGGAAGTTAGAGTGCTGCTGAAATTCTCTTGCGCAGTTTTTTTAGATTACTACAAATTTTAAACTACAACAATTTGCATTCCATCATACTAATCTTGGTCTCACTAATTAAAAAAAATTAATACGGTGCAAAGTACCATTTCATAACACTATGCCCAGACTTGCCTGCTTGCCTGTGTTTGGGAGTTCTGCAGCGAGGGTTGGCTGTTGAAGCATTGTCTCATCCAGCTTGTTACGTCAGGACCTCTGCTGTGCAGGTATGAGCACTTAAAATAGACAGAGGTCACTCGAGGTGCTTTTCTTGACTTTTGTATCCCCTTTTCAGCCAATGCTGATGTTACGAGAAGGCAGAAGCATATGTAGCGTTTATTTCTGCAGAAGTTTTTGATGGTCTAAGTTGAGTCGGCTGCAGTCCCTCGCTGTCCCTTGTGTCAGTGCTCGTGCAGCTGGACAGGGTGATGCTTCAGGGAGCCACTGTGTCTGAAAGCCGATGGCTTCCTTTGCTGGGCTGCTGGATTGCTGCATCAGCTCTTTGAATGGTTTCCTACCCAGTCACCTGAAGGCCAGAGCCAGGAAAAGTGGAGGAGGCTGGGAACGTGCCGCCGTAGAGAAGACAAGACTGCCTTTCCTCAGCTCAGCTCTGAAAGCCGTGGACTTGGTTTAAGCAGTCTGAAGTAACAGAAGTCCAAGGTGGCCTATTTAGAAATACTGTCTTTTGCTCATTCTTCCAAAGAAGCTGTCAGCAACCGTCTGGATTTCAGTGACATAATTTAATTAAGAGTTTCCAAATCAAGTATAGTTACAATAGTTACAAGATTCTACAATAAAAACAACAAAAAAAAAGTGTTGGAGTTGAAATCAATGAAATCTGCTTTTGACTAGGTGGCTTTAATTGGATGAAATTGTAATTTGGACAGTACTTTGGAAAGACATTGGAAGGAGCAAGAGTTACTCCACATTTCTGTAATATTGCTGTTAAACCTGCCCCTGTGTGAATAACTGATTTTATTTTACATTAATGGAAATTACTAGAACATATTTCTGAAACAAAACTTTTGTTTCTGTGTAAGAGTGTCAAACTGTGTTGTGGGTTGATTTCGCTATATGATTTTTATTTAAGTACAGACAGAAAAAGGTTGGAAAAGCAAATCTTATTAAGTTGCAAAAGTGTTTGCTGTTTTCAGCATTCTAGTACAGGAATACATGTTTAAAATGAGGTTTCAATAGTGGCTAATTGAAAGTAAGCTGATGGAACAACAAGTTGAATTTTGTTAAACATCTTGTCAAACATGCCCTTTTGAAGCAGTAGTGAGGGATGTTTTTATCCAGATGCGTTCTCATTTGCTACTCTCTGAGTGGGCACTCTGATCCAGTGTACATATGGCTACAAATACAATCTCAGATATTCTTCTTGAAAAATAATTTAAAAAATACTGTTTCCTGCAGCCGTAGCCTGTGGCTAGATGTTTCAACTGCAAGTGTTGAAACAGTCATATGTGCATAAGTTACTTGAGTGCTAAAAAGTGGAATACATTTTGAACTGCATTCTTGAGCAGTGACTCTAAATTTTTTCAACTTGCAGAACTCTTATCATTTTCATCTGGTTCTAATGACAGCTTTTACCCAATGTACATCTACTGACAGTAGGCTTTCTTTTCTTTCATACCTTTTGTGAGATTCCAGCAACTTCCAAGTTGCAAGTATTTGTAAACCTTTGTTCAGTTGGGAAGTAGAGGAAGCAAGGTTTCAGCTGCAGTCTCAAACTAAACGGGTTCTGCTGTCACATGCATATACTTTTCTCCTTTCCCCCAAAAGAAGGCATAAACGCAGTTTGTTTTCTCAGTAGTATACAAGGCTCTTCAGTTTGCACAGATTATTATTAGTAGTATTAGTATGGTTGTTACATATCTATAAATATAAAATCGATTATATATATATATACACAAAGGTGTATTTCCATAGAGATATCTTTGTTGGGGCTGATTGATAGATATTTTCTCTTAGTAAAGTATAGACACCAATTTCAGTGATACTGTTATTCTAGATAAGTTTTCCTTCTTGTTTAAGGCTCACAAAGTGACATTGTATATGAAGACTAAAATTTCATTCTTCGCAAAAGATATGTCTACTGTGTCTCGTATGGTACCTTTTTTGCTGTTGCTGTGTACTGGACATTTGTTATTTTGGCTGTTATAACCAACTTTGTATCTGGCACGTTCCTTGTGTTAGGTTACGTACTAATGCCTCCTTAAATGTTTTTTTAAAATCCTGTTTCCTAAAAGGGGAACTTGCTGATACTGAAAAGGAATGTATTCAGTAGGGTCTGCTCCCCAGTGGAATAGGTGAGGAAATTTTTGAGTGAGTTTCAGGGAAAATACTGAAAATGTCTTAATTTTCAGTACTAATGAAACCTGTCCTATCTAGGTGTTCTTTCTTCTAACTTTCCTGTAGGAGCATCTGCCACTATCACTCGCTGGAGCTGAGTTGAGATACTCCAGTATATTGGCAAAAGGGTTCATTTTCTGAGTGACGAAAAATTGAGCCTTTTTTGTGTGGTCTATCCTTGAGAGGTTAGCAACATGAAACAACACATCTCTCAGAAAGCTAAATAATCTAGAATTTATAGAGTTAAGCTAAAATATTTCTCTTATTTTGTGTTGCAACATGTGTATCCGGTCCTAGAAATGTTTTTTAAAAAAATCTTTTAGATGAAGAATAAACAGTGCTAAATATGGTAATAACATTAAGCTACAAAATTCCTTACAATTGTGTCAGTGTGCCTTGGAAACTTCACACATACTGGAGCAAAACAGTATTTATATCCATGAAAAGACAGCCTTTTGCCAGACGCTCCTGCTTTTGATTTGCACTGTATCCATCTAGATTTGCACATTGTCAGCAAGGGTTTTCTAGAGTTATGAAATGCAAAACTGTTAAATGAACACATTAATCAATCATATACTCTTCTATGTGTTAAAGGAAATGTTGTAGGGATACTCGTAGTGCTTTTCATTCTTTTCCTAAGTGCTCTAGAAAACCATTGTATACATATTTCAGCTGTGTGATTTCACGGAATCACGGACTGGTTGAGGTTGGCAGGGACCTCTGGAAGGAATCTGGTCCAACCCTCCTGCTCAAGCAGGGCCACCTAAAGCTGGTTGCCCAGGATCATGTCCAGATGGCTTTTGAGTATCTCCATTCTAGCTCTCTTGCTGAAGACTGAACAAGTTGGGTGTTCCCCCCCCCCCCTTCCTTTCTGTGTGGTTTTTCTTTTCTCTTTTGCTGTTTAGCTGTATATTTTCAAAGTCTAAGAAGTATATGGTTTTGGTGGATTGAGAAGGAAAAGATCTGTATATCTCTGCCTGGTCCCAGGGCATTCTGTTCTGCTGCTCTTAATTACTCATTATATTCTACATTGAAGGTAAATAACATTGCTATTAGGAAGAAAATAGCTATGGGAAGAACAGTGTTAAACTTGTGACTTTGAAAATGATTGACTTCTCATATATATTTTTAAATTAGCACTGTTTTTGTACATAGCAATCATAATGGAGAACCTGTAAGTTTTTTTTAAAACTAGCCTATGTGCATTTGCAATGCTTATCTGTTAAGATTCCATGGCAGTGATTTTTAAGGAATAGACACATGATCTAAACCAAAAAACATACCACCAGTTAATGAGTGAGTGCCTACCAACTGACCTATGATAAACTGGTGTGTATCCAAGTTCTGAAGTAAAATATTTGGAAATGGCATAAAATTAATGTGTTGGGCCACATCACTTTCTCACTTTGGTTTGCTTTCCAGTTCCTTACAGGCCGTATCCATAGTTCCTGAAAAGTCAGTTGATAGGTATAAGCTTCTTACATTTTGGACATGAACTTGTTTTTCACCCTTTATGTTTTCATCTACTTAAAAAGGTGCTTGGTTTAAATTCCATAGTGGTACTTTACTTTTTAAAATAAAGTTGTTTAGCTTGGTTTTTAATGTGCACAGTTCATAACACTTTAAAAGTAAGATAGGGTAAGTATAAGTATGTGTTTAAAGTTGATTACGTATGTGATGAGAGCTGCATTATCCAAGTTTTTGACTCCCTGAGGCAGTGAACTTTGTGAGTTCTTAGCATCACAAGAGCTGTGAAATAAGTTCTCTGTAGTTTATTAGACTGACCTATTGAGTGCTTTAGAAAGCACTTCTTGTTACTTCTACCATTTCCATTTTGTTAAATATATAAATAGGTGTCTGCTTTGCTCTTTGCCTTTGTAGCACAGCTAATGCACCAGAAGACGATGCTCCAAATAGATACTCCCGAACAGACAGGACAACTTACAGCAGATACAGCAGGGATGCAAATTCTTCTGGCAGTTCTGTACCAAGTAATGCTTTGGAAAAGAGGATTGAGGAACTTGAAAGGGTAAGTACCAACTAATATCTGCATGACATATATCTGAATTAAAGTACCTTTGAAACTCCATGGGGAAATCTACCAGTAAAATACACAGAAATGATGCTAAATGCTTGAAGTACAGATAGTTATGTCTATAAAAATGTATAAAGAGTCAGACTGACTAAGAAGAACGTGAACTTTCTAATCACAGATGTTTAGTTTTCATTTGGTGTATAAGTGGGAAATAGTTGAGGTGAAGATAATACACTTGGAGAGCCAGCAGTGCTCTGTGTATTTCTTCTATGTACCTCGTGACACACCAACACAGGGTCAATAACTTGAGGGAAGGAGGGGCTCACTGGCTGTTCAGAAAATTAGCAAGCCTGGTTTTGATCTACTTCTTATTTTGGACTTTTTTAATGTACTGAAATATTATAAAATTTAATTTCTATCCAGTTGTTTGTTAAAGTTTTAAACATTTAAAATACATATTTTAAACAAAGTTTTCATTTCTTCAGACATTCTTCATACAAACAATTTTGGGAAAATGTAATAATGTTAAAGCTGTGTTTTTCACCTAAACCAGTATTTTACTAAATAATGTCATCTGTGTAATCTATTACTGGCTTCTCTATCTTCCTCTGAAGTGGATTTTTGTGGGTAACTTGCCAAATATTCTTGAATTTGTATGGATGAAAGTTACTAAGTAAACACAATTTGAATAGATCTTTTTTGGAAAGGATGAAAATAAAACATATTTTGTAGAAATTATTTTTCCTTTTTTTTTTTTTTTTTTTAAAGACTTGGGGAAGCCTGATTTGAGTGAAGTACACCATAATCCTCCCTACCAAATCAGCTTCCTTCTGAAATAATTTAACTGCCAGTAACACAGAAAATAGAGGAAGATTTAAGGGCTTTCTTTCAGTATCCTGAACCCTGATCTACTGAATTCCTAATGGACATTTTCATTTTTTCTCACATTCAGACCTACAGATCTAACAGTGAGTCTTCATTCCTTGTTAATGGTAGCATAAAAAACAACCACCAAAAAACCAAACAAAACCCAACAACAAACAAACAAACAAAAGGAGGACTAACTCTGCCAATGTAACAAATTTGGGAGCTGATACTTTAGATTTATTTCTGGTTTGGGCCCCTATCCAATTTGGGTTCATGCTTAAGTTAAATATTAATTAAAATGTTATCTCTGGAATCAGAAGTATCACACAGGTTTGCTGTGGGTAAAATATTTTCTTAGACATGATTTTTTAGCTCCTTGAAATGCAAGGGCTTGAAGACGTGGGTTTGACTTGCTGTAGAAAAGGTGTTATAGGTAAGTGTGTGTGGGTTTTTCTTCTTTGTTTTAAATGGTAATAAATTAAAACTCTCTCTTAAACCCCCAAATTACATTTCAAACTTCATTGCATATTTTGGTTTTAGGAACTTGCAAAGGAGAGACAGGAAAATGCGAGATTAATGAAGATGACACAGGACAAAGAGGAGCTAATTGGAAAGCTGAAGGAAGAAATTGATTTATTAAACAGAGTAAGCACATACTTTCTTATATGCTGCTATGTAAAGAGGGGATAAAAATCTCTGTATTTTCTGTGCTCTTTTTCAGGCACCTGCATCCACTGGGCAAGTTCAGAAGAAAATTAAGTGTGGAGTTTTTTTCTTATTTGTGTAACTTCTCAAGACGCATGTCAATAAGTTATATTTTTTCCAGGTGACTTCTGTTTGTCATGGTTAACTTCCATAAGTTGTGTGTTATTGGAGTACCTGTATTTCTTGTTGCTGTAAGTGTTCGTAGAACAAGGTTATAAAAGCAAGAGTTCTTTACTGCCTCTTCTTTCCACATTCAGTACGTAGCATACCAGGAAATAATTAAGTTGGGGTTTTGACAGTTTTCTCAGTAAATTTTTGCCCAGGACTTTTGTTAGACAAAGTAATTATAAATTTAATTTCATTTTAGTCAGCTTTTAATTACTAATAATAGTTTAGATGATCTTAGAAATATTTGGGAGTAAGTGCTTTATATTCTTACACATATTCTCATACTCTTTATTGTTGATTCCCAAGTAAAAGCAGAACAAGACACGGGGCAGGAGACTTGGGCTAGTATCACTTGGGCAAGGTGTGTAGGCAGGAGAAGAGAGGGTAGAAGAGTCAGACATACTTGGGAATAGGACAGGTTGAGAAGTTTTCAAGTTGATAGAAGATAGCGATTTTAACAAGCCCTGGTTTAAGGGCAGACTGGAACTCTTTCATAGAGTGGATTAGTGACCTTGATCTTGCACTTCCTGGCTGAGGTGCAGAGCCTGGATGTACTAGGTATATATGCCTCTACTAGTCCAGTGCAGAGATGCCTATAAAAATTCAGAAAAAACTTTCAGAGCTGGCTTTGGTCAATCTAGCGGTGAAGGGAGGCAATAACTCTATGTGTGTAGTGGCAAACTTTCATTTTGCGCTCTTCGTTTGTAGCAAAGGAGGACAACATTTACAAGTTTGCAAACTAATCTAGAGAAAGAAAGGAGATGAGGTTATTCTGGAACAGATATCTTTTATTCTTTTATGAAGAAAGTTGGGAGTTAATCTGTAGCATAAATGAAGCGTTGTCTGTTTTGGAGAGATTCCTATTTTAATTGAGGAATTGATCTTCATGTCGTTCTTCCATTCTGCAAAGAATCTGTCACATCTAAGCTGATGACCTAATTGCAGTCAAGGCAAGTGTTCATTGCTCCTACATAATGGATGGCAAAGCTACTTAATACTGCTGGTCACACCTGACTTCCTGACTCAGAGGTCAGAAAGAACAAATCAAAAGAATGTAAATGACTGAAAGCCTGTGGTTTAGGACCTTGACTGTTTGTGAGGTTTGCTGTTCCAGAAACAATGTTATTTTTTTCTGCTATATTTGAAGTGCGATGTCCTAAATTAAATCCATCGAGTGGCTGACTAGAAATTAGACTTAGTTGTGTAGTTACTTATTCCTTGGTATGTGAAGTCCAAGCTTTCCTGTTATTGCATTTTTTTTCATTAATAAGCATAAATTAGTGTTGTAGTTTCGAATTTTGAATAAGAAACTTTAAATTTCAGAGTAGTAAAACCCACCTGTGTCTCTCAGTCCATTGTTTCTGTAGATATTTAAACTGCAATAATTATTTTTCCTGGCTCATATTCAAGAAACTCTTACTTGTAGTAATCTTTGGAATGTTATTTTTACAGCATAAACATTTAAAAAACTTCTAATATTTTATTTTGAGTAAACTACAGGTATTGTAAACAGAAGGTTTTTGGGTAAGCTTTAATTGAGGCATCTGATGGCTAGGTTAACAAGAAGTTCAAACGGTAGTACGTATACTGAATGAAAAAAAAAAAAATTATTGAAAAAGCGCTGTCCCTTCCATCTGGCTGTTGATTTGAATTGCACGAGAGAAAAAGTGTATTTCTTACAATTACATAGTAAACTGTATTTATAGTAGCTATCCATCAAAACTTTCCATGCTTGGGTGTTTAAGTCACTTGTATTGGTTGCGTCGGTGTGGTCAAATGCTTTTCCTGGAAGTTGTTCATACTGTGATGCAGCATTACTTCTGTGAGGCAAAGAGGAATTTCTGCTAGTGATTTCTTGATTCCACATTACAAAAACAATAATGTAATTGCAAAGGTATTGCAATACGGATTTTGGCTTGGCAAACTGAAGAGGCTTTTAAAAACCATAATATCAATTAAGCACAACATCTCTAGCATGCACTTCTGGAATGACCCCACTAAAAAGAAATAAGAAAATAGTCTCTGTATATCAAATACTGCTTAACAACTTAAAGGAACAAGAGAGAGAAAATCTATACTACTGTTTTATGTTTAATCTAGCATGGCAACAGTAGGGTTTTGCAGACTTCAATCAAAAGGCATCTAAGATCTCTAATGAGAATCGTGGTTCTTCCTCCTTTGCCTGGCTTTCATTTTCCTCCTTAAAGTGTTGACCCTGAGGTCACTCTTCTGTTTCTTCATTTTTTGTTCCATTCTGTTTTCTTCCATGTTTTTTTTGTACAGCAAAATTATTTTTACTGAAGCAATGCTTACATTAAACAGCCAGTTTCACTGGTTTTCACTCCAAAGGCTTGAAAAGACTTGGTAGGAAGTGAAGAAGTGAAATGGGAACTGGGTAAATATGGTAATTGGTGGAAGAAGGATGAACATTTGGGGTAGGAGCAATCTGTTTTAAGCATCCATTATTACTGTGTGTGCTGTCTGTTCTTTCAGTAGCAGTTTACACGGATAGGCAGTTTGTGAAAATTTTGATACTTAATTTAAAACACAAAGCAGGTCACCTTGCAGTAATAACCAGTAATGTGTATATGTGAGCAGGATAGTTGCAGACAAGCACAGTCCGGGGAGCAGAGGCAATAGCTGACTAATACACTCTCTGTATATGCCAATAAAATTGTCGCGCCCATCCTATTTTGGTTTCTTGATGCGTTAATTTCTGCTGTAGCTTTAGTTTTGATTATGTGTTTCCATTTACAGGTGCTTCTACATGGGAATATAATATTAATGTTTTGTAATTACAGTAACACTTGGAAAAAGGCCAGTTTAACAGATTTAAGTGTAGCTACTGTGGCACTAATTCTTCCCAACCCCAACTTGTTCATTTCAGAGCTAAGATGCTAAATTCCTGCTGCAACTAAATGAAAGTTTGTATTTATGTCCTGAGAAATGCTTGTATTTCTTTTTCCTTTCACAGGACCTAGATGATATAGAAGATGAAAATGAACAATTGAAGCAAGAAAATAAAACCCTCTTAAAAGTTGTTGGACAGCTAACAAGGTAGAAGATTCAAGCCTCAGTGAGGAAAGATTTAAGAAACTACTGATTGAACGTTAAGGTCAATATAGTAATACTTCCTGTGTTGCAGTATGTTATAATAACTGTCTTTATATTTATTGTTAGGAAACCAGATGAATGTTTATTTTCATAGTACTTTCTTCTTCATTCAATGAAATGGCATCAAATTTGGGGTATATTTTTAGCTTTCTTTTCATGTAAGAATGATTAACATTTTTTACATATTTCAAAATATTAAGTTCAAAAATATTAAGGTTTTGTATCTTCAGATTGCATCTGGTTAAATTACAGTAATTTAAAATTCATAGCACCAAGATCACTTTCAGTCCACGTGGGTGTATATTTTTGAAATGAATGGAGGCAATACATAGAAGCTTTGTTTACACAGATCCAAAATATATATTTTGGGAAATATTTCCTTTTGTGTTTAAACAGCTGTAAAGTGGATGCCTTATTACTGATGTATAACATTTTGCAGATTGATTACTTGCTCTAAAACTCTTGGTTTTTTACTGTATCTGAAAGACTGACAATATTAGAGAGTAGCAATTTTTTTTTTTCTGTATAACAGTATTCTGGCAGGAGGGAGAGGTTTTATTAAAAAAACCAAACAAACACAAACCCACCAAAAAACCACTAAGTCACCTGTGGTATCAGCATTAATGAGTTCCTAGAATCATACTGAAGTTGTGCACTGCAGTTTATTTTAAAGCTTTTGCTTTAGCGATGAAATGCAAGTTTGCTATCAGACAGTAAGTTTGTTTGCTGTGTTGAGAATTCAAACAAAGCCTGGAGCTTTCATTTTAGCAAAGACACTTTTTCAATACTCTTCTACTTAAAGCTGTCATCTTAAAGTTTGTAGTGATCATAGCCAATATAAGTTTTTTTGATGTTTTCATTTTTTAAGCTGGGTGAAGATTTTTGTACATAACAAAGTAGAGGGGCATACAAGTGATTCATGCCCTTTTGAAACATCAAATGGTTTAAAAAACCCTTTTATCCTTGATTTTAGACTAACAAGGTGTTTAAAAAGTGCCTATTTAGATGTTACAATCCACTTATGGCTTCGTACTGATTCTTCTATAACATGAGAGTAGACAAAATTTTCACTTGACGTTAACCACAGACCTCAGTTAACAATTCTCTTCAAATTTCAGCTTAACGAGGATTTTATGTACTTTATTTCATCTTAATACGGCACATTTTTCATTCCTGATCAGAATAAATGTATGTGTTGTTTGAGTCAGGACACTAGAAATGAAAACATTTTGAAGAGTCCAGGCTTTTTCTTGACGATTTTGAAGTTTGGTGTCAGAAGGTTGCATGCATATAGTTTTTGTTACCTTAAAACATAAAGGCAACTTTAAGATGTAATAACGATGACCTTTTCAGATTTGCCAATTGTTTTCATAATGTGTATTTAATGACTGTAAGAGTTTCTTAAAGTTCAAATCCAGGTAATATTGTTATGCCTTGGATTGTTTTGGATATAGGATAGGTTATTTTGCATTTGTATATTCTAATGAGGAGGAACTTTTCAAAGCTTTAAAGTATTTTTCAAGACACTTATATTCCAGGATGCCTTGGTGTTTTCTTTCACAGTGGATGAGATCCCAGTTAGACACCATTTAAAACCTTTACTCAGGGGTTTAAATGGTATGGGGGGGTTGTATAGGCCCTCTGAACTACGATATACACCAGTGAATATTGCTTTCAATATTATTCAAACAGTACAAAGTCCCTTAATTTATCAGTTTTATGAAATTAAAAATCTAAAGTAATAAAAAAATCAATTGAGATGTATGCCTTCTGAATAAAGGTGAAACTTTCTCTGGAAGAACATCTGATTTCGTTCTCTGTGTGCTAGGTAGGAAATATACATATGGATTTATGGCATGGGATGTCAAACATTGAAGCATCATTAAGGAGTTAATGCAGAACACACAGATACTAATACGAAGTTGTTAATGAGGTATTTCATAAATTGTATTTCACATACATTTTAAACCAAAGAACAGTAACAACAGAGAACATAAACAAAAATCACTTGTCTTCATATTACCTCTTCTTGGTTTGCATGTGTATTGACTAAAACTTAGCAGTAGTAATGCCGAAATTAGAACTTTTTTTTTTTGTTAACTTGGACATCTAGCTGACAGGAATATTTGGTAGAAGTGCTTCTGATACCCTACCTCGAAGAGGTACTGGCAAGGGACGTTTCCAAATATTTGAAACCAGTGATGCTTCAGCCAGAACATGTGAACAAAGGAGCTGTTGGGTACTTACAGATAAAAGTACCTGAGGACATTATCATTGTTGTTTATTATAAAAATATAAAGCTCTTCATGGTTTTAAAAATTCCCACAAATTGTATCTTGAAGCATAACACTCTGCTGACAGTTTGGAAGATTTAGATGATGTTTTGGAAAAAAGTACGTCAGTAACAATTCATTATTGCTTACATTATCAGACTGTTGGGAGAAGTTTAGTAGATTCTAGGAAAAATGATGTATTGCGTAGAATGTTAATAATTGTCTATTCATTTCTTGTCATTATCTTTTTATTTCAGTAGGGTAACCTTATAGTCAAGCTTAAACATAGAGTAAGTTTTTTTCCTAGGTGATTTGAAGGTTTTAAATTAGCTACCTTACCAGCAATTCACTAACCCGTGTCCATATCCTTTCCAGTCCAACACCTCGATTGTTTTCAGTTGTGTGATTTAAAAGCAGAGAAAGCACTGTAAGTGGAACCCACCTCACTTGGCAAGGCTGTGGGATTCCTGAGTGAATCTGGTTATTAATGTACCTAGACTAAATTAATTTACTAGGGCTTTTTGGGGGGGAGGAGTGGGAGGTGGGGTGGGGCGGAGGAGACATTAATATGCAATATTAATTGTATGGGTAAGTCTCTTGGAGATTTCTGAACTTTCATGTCTTAAATTTCATACCAAACTGCTTAGGTCTAGCATCTGTGTTTCTGGGTAACTTGGGTCATCTAGGAAATATAGATGGAAAAGTAGTCCCACTGACTAAAGCAACTAAGAAAATTTTTTTGGGAGATACTTCAATATCGAACAGCACATAATTCCTGTTTTGATAATGCACAATGATACTCCTGTTATGGTCACATATAGAAAACATCTACTACATCCAGAACTGAAGGTTAAAATTGTGCAGAAATATTTTTATCATTGATAATATGCACTAATGTTTGTGGGATTTATTCCCTAAAGAAGAGGTTCAACCATATATAAAAGTTGGTGATTTTTACAAGGAAATTCAAAGTAGCTCATTTTCCATTTTTTAAATAATTAAGTGGCCATGTTTATAGTTCAGTGTTACTTGATGTGTGTATTAACTGAAAGAGTACAGTCTGTATTTGCAAATGAGTGTTTTTTTATGTCTTTAGAGCAAAATTTTTCTTGGTTAATTACCAGATTTGTATTTACACATTGGGAGATTAATTATTTCTGTGTTAGATTGGCTCTGAATTTGAGAGGTAGAGTGAGAAAAGAGGGTAACAAGAAATAAATCCATGGCTTCCAAAGTAGGAAGTATAACCTAATAATTTTTTATTTTATTTTTTTTTAAATTCAGCTGTACTGAGAATTAGCTGTGGAGAGATTTATGATTGGCATAAGTAGTACAAAAAATACAGGGGTTTTAGTATGTTGGAAACAACTGATTAACCTACATCAAAGCTCTTTTCGACTTGTCTGCTATCATTACAGCTTGGAAGCTTGCTACCATAAGAGAGACCAAAAGGAATACTGGAGATCAAATTACCTATTAAGATTTTGCTAGGAGAGCAGAGTTACACTGACTCCAGCTTTTTTATGGTTTTCTGTAAGTTCTTCGTGGCTATTTCCAGCTTGAATTGAAACAAATCAGTATTAGTAGCCAGGAGGAAAGGTAATTATTGGGAAACAAATACATGAGTAATAACTATGGATACCATTAACATATGACTGAGTGTCAGTATTTCTTGGGCTCAGACCCTTTATGAGTATGTCAGTTGAGTCGGTCCATTTGCATCAGTATTAATGATCATAAACATCTGACGTTTAATAAGAAGCAACTATTTTAGTTGGAGAAATTACCATTGCAAGCCATGACTTACAATACAGTACAATAAAAAAAATTCGTGCTGGTACTTGTAGCTGCTAAGAATAAGAGGCCAAGGATTATACTTAAAAGTTTTGTTAAAAATGTTAAAAATGAAACAAATGAATTCTGGATATTGTAAATTAATGTTACAGAAGTTCACTACAGATCTGTTCCATGCTGGTCATTCTGGTGTTGATACCTGCAAAAGGTATTGACACCAGCATTTCCAGAAGCATTCTACTTCTGTTATTAAGCATTTCTTTAGGACTACTTAAATATATCCAGGACAAAAAGGACTTTGATACGTATTTTAGTAGCATTCATGATCTTCCAAGTATGTTGACTTACTGTAGCAAATCTCCATCTACCATTTCTCCTTGTACTGTAGCAGATGTACATTACCTTGTTAATTTAATCCTTTTGCTTTTATTTCTGGTGTAACCATTCTTCTTCAGGGCTAGTTGTGATCTTTCTGGTCTGGAAAAATTGTGATAGTTGAGTTTTTCTCTGAAAATAGTCTCATAAGCATAATGCAGAGTCATTTTTTTAAAATACCCATTATATGCATTTAAAAAGTTGAAGCATCATTAAGCTATAAATAACTAAATATCCATTTTAGTTTTGAACATTGACTAGTTGTGATATTATTTGTGATATCAGATTAAAAATTATGTTGAGATTCTTGCTATTGCAGGTAAAAGATACGTGTTTAATCTAACAATAAAGACTGTGTGCCTTTGTCCAAATAAAACAAAATTCTTTTTAATCCAGGCTGACTACTTATTGTTTTTAAAGGAGAATTAATAATGTCTGACTAAAATTCTAGCTGGATTTGTCACCCATACTGGGAAGCTTCCAACCTTAGCTGCTAGAATTATTTTTATGTTCAGATTCACTTCTTCAAGTGTGCATGTGTTTGCACACACACAAGAGAGAAATCTGCATATTTCCACTATACTAATTTTCTGCTTCAGGAATGTAGTGAGTATCCTTCCATCAGTTAGATGGAAATGACCTTTTCCTGTACTTCAAAGTTGAAGTATAACCCTTCCCAGGAAAAGATAATGAAGGATGTTACACTGCTACTTCTACACAAATGAAGTGAGTTGACTTCACAATAGATTTAATTTCTGAAGTTTCTATATGAATACATGGTCTCTGCTCCTGCACAGGCAGAATCATTAAAGACAACCTCCTTTTCATTCATTGCTGGAGACTACACATAAGGAGAACAAGTGGATCATCAGTAAACACTGGGGAGATAGTAACTATATCACAGTTCGTCATAAAGTTTGTAATGTTGTTTTAAAAAACCAACTTGAAACATAAATGCCACAAGAAACCATGCATTCACCCCTATGGCTACTTTGTGGATAAGACATTATGAGCATTTGCACTTAAATTTTAAAATGTTGGGTGAATTTGGTTTAGGATCATTTCTCCTACAGTTGACTTGGTTTATGAAAACCCAGTGGTCTTTGGATTTTGTT